GATAGTTACTTTGTAAACAGTCAGGCCTGACACGCCTTCCAAAGTCTGATACATTTAGTGTATGGCACAGCAAGGTGAGTTGAACCACACCAATATTAATACGCCAATTCCACGTCAATTATGAGAATTTTTTCAAAAATTTCTATTTTCTTATTGTTCGTTATCATTTTACGGGTAACCTTCTCAGAACAGTTACAACAAAAGCTCCTTCTTTTGATTGTATTTGTTGTTGCCGTATATGACTAGACACGACTAGACACGACCAAAATTATGACTTTTATCTTGAAACAGATTAAATACAGTTGCAGCAGAAAACGAGCACTTCTAGCAGTTTTAACTATACTATTATAGTATCCCAAAAACCAAAAAATATTACTTGTAAATTATTTGATTTCTGCTACTGCACTAAAAACTGATTTTCGCCGCTACGATGCTTGAATTTTTTAATTCTGTATTACTGTTCTTAACTTACATTTTTGAAGAAATATAAAACTGTAGAAAAGAAATAGGAAAAAAAAGAAAAACTGTTGTGCCAGAAAGATAGAATGTCTTAGTGAGCTTCATAAGCTTAATGCAAAAAAATTTTTGGGCATGGAGTTCGAAAAGCGAAAAGGTTTAGGATTATATTCTCAATGTGTTAAAGTAATCTGTTTTGACTGCTGCAGTTTTGACCATAACGGCATCTTATCACATTTCTAGAAGTGTATTCTGATTCTTTTACGTTTCACGCTATTTGCTTCTTGTGCTCTTTCAGTTGAGCATAAACGATTACTCAGACTATTTTTTAGATCATTTTTGTGCTCTTTTTGAAATTGTTCTAATGCTTTTTTTCATCGTATTGTATTCCAAAACTCGTTAGATCACATACAAAAAGGAAAGGAAAGGCGCATAATCCTTATAAAGCTGTACTCAATTAGCTCAAAAAGTAGAAAAGTATACAGAGAAGAAAATAAACTTCATTCAGTAGCAAAGAAACTGCCTTTTGAAAAGAGGCAAGCCAAATTAAAAAGTCGTTAAACTGTTTCGTTCAAATCAAAATGATCAGAAGGTAGAAGTCAAAAGCTTAATAATTCTATCGTATAATTTTAGTTTAGCAACGTAGCTGTAAGCCATTCTGTATAAAGTGTTTTGTCAGCGAGTTGAATAATGCGTTACAATACAGAAAGATTTTGGCTGATTTTCTCTGCTGTTGTAATCTGTATTTTGACAATAACTGCAATAAACTTTGCTTATTTTAATCAACTTAGCCCAGTTGCGGTGAGTTTTCTAAAACTTATACAGAACAGTTTGAAAATTTATACCTTAATTACTTGACCAGTTTTAGAAGAAAAAGCAATGCAAAAAGAAAGCATTTTAAGAAATAAAATGTAGTAAAAAATTTCATGGCTAAGCATCAAATTAAATAACTTTTTAACCTTTCGCAAATCAAATAACCTTTTGTGAATTATAATGTAATTGTTACTGCCATAAAAGCTAATAATCTTTTTCCTAAACTTAACAAACAATTTTAGCAGATTTACGTAAGTTTGAAAGTTTTTGTTGAGAATTGTCAGGAAGCAGGAAAAATAAAAGTTGGCAAGCACTCGTGAACAAAATTTGCTACTTTTAAACAAGAATACGTATCACCCAATTTTGAAGATAGCTTTAAATCTTTAATTTTACGCTACATGCCTAAGCTTCTAATTTTTCAAATTTTAGAGCTTTCTTGACCCGGTTCCGGAACATCTCTCACCTTTCTCTAGGTCAACCTTATCGGAACTGTTTTTAAATTATCGGAAATGCTTGTTAGATGATGCGACAAAAGTAGAAGAAAAACTGGTGAGAGGTTTCAATTAAACATATTAATAACTTTTGTGAAATAGATATCTCTCCGATGAAAACAGTTTATTATTTTGCTTTTCTAATTTTTTTCTTTTATATAATGAGCCATACACACGCAGAAACCAAAATCGGAAATGATGCGCAAGTTAGTTTTTAATTCTCTATTTTATTCATGGATATAAGCCATTTCTCACTCAATTCCTACATATGCAAAAAAATTTCTGGTCATTAGTACGCTCTCTGTTCTTTGGTTCAAATTGAGGTGCCGTTTTTTCAGTTGATTAAAAAAACATTATTTTTATTGAAAAAAAAGAAACCTAAAGTAAAGATGTCGGAAATTTTAAAGCTACAACTTTTGTTTCTTTCTCCCGCTTTTTCATTCCCAATGTAGTAGTCACAAGGTGTGAAAAGAGGTAGAGTCTGAGACTATATGACTTCAACATGACCTAATGTTAAAATGAGGATGAAATAATAGCAAACATTGCTTTACACATCGATATTTTGGTTTATAGACCTGCAAATACAAGTTCAGTAATTAAGTACAGTGCTTCACTCGGTCTTGGTGCAAAAATAGTAAACGACGTAGGAATTTCCGTTGTATGTTCCTTTTTTTTTAACCATCATCAAACCTGGTAAACCTCTGATGTTTCCTCGCATGTCATTTTTTTTTTTTGCTTTTGATAAAGAAGTATCATTTTGCTAAGCGAAATCCACAAAAAAAAATTCTTTTTTCTCTTCTGAAGTATAAACTAGATTTTTCACAGTAAAACTGTGTTTCAAATATGCGGTCAAAGAAGCCCTATTTTTTTTATGCGAATGATCACACTTCCATATCCTGGAGTAAAATTCATTCTGTGCAAATGTTTTTATCGTCAGAAACAGGTTGATATCCTATAAAGCCACAGGAAACATTTCCTAACAAAGAAGTTTCAAGCTATTTTGTTTGTCTGTAGAATGTCACAGAACTCAACCGCCAAATTAGCTGTTTCATAAAATGTCCGAAATCGAAAAACACTGTGACGCTCAATATGATGTTCAAAAAAGCATCAAAATATGGGGATTGCAAAATGCCGATGAAATTAAATATGTGCGACAGCCATGCAGAACTATTCAGGTGACAATTTCTTGGCCCACATTTATTTGTTCAGTTATCGAATTCCCTCTCTACGAATGGAGATAACAATCAGAAGAGTTTGGTTCAGTTGCCAAAGGTGTTCTTATAGCGTCAAGAAAGCAAATCTCTGAAAAAAAAGAACATTTAATGCGTTCAAAAACTACAACTTTTAAATTTTCAGTTCCTCGTTTATGCGCTGAGAAAGTAATTCGTAAACGACAAGGTGATTAATAAACTGTTGACTAGTGCACGTTAAACAAGTGAGATAAGAAAGATAAACTGAACAAATATAATCCTCAAACAGTACTTGATACTTATAGATTCGTAATGCGAGTCTTCCATATTATAAGAAAAGGAAAAAAATCTTTAACTTTTTTTTTAAAATTTAAAACTTTAAAAAGCGACTAAAGATAACGAAAAACACTCAGTTAAGTATCCCTAATGATCCCAATAAGTTTGTTGCTTGAGTGTTTTATTGCTTTTCAGAAGGAAGAGGAATGTAACATTATAACACTCGGCATTGGCTTTGATACAAAAGCTGAAGAAAACTTGAAACGAAAAGTGTCAAAAATGTGTAAATTTTTTGGTGCCGACCCAATTGAGAGACGAAACAAAAAATTATATCAAAAAATAGGAAAATATTTTAAAATGGCTGTAGCGGCAACTAGCGGGGACAAAACGGCTTCCGTTCTTGGATGTAAGTCAATCAATTTCACAGTTCTACGTGTTACTTACCTGCTAGCGTAATTTAACACGTAATGTTTGCTTGGTACAACTTTCCGATTAGTATCTTTACTGCTTTAAACCGACCATTCGCTAAGGCCTCTCGTGTATACCGCACAAATAACCACCTCTTTGAAGACAACGGTTTAACAAGCTATCGCGTAGTACCAATGTATCACGTCAGCTTTCTGACGTTTTTAAAAAGTCATGTCAGAGTGAAGCATATCATTGACTATTTGTTCATGGACAACAAAGGCGCTGAGATATTTGCTCTAAAATCATTTTCGTATTTTTAAACTGATACAGATAGATACAAAGAAACTCGTTCTTTGTAGTACGACATCGTTTCCTATTTCGCACCTGGAGGAATACTGGATTCACAACGCATCGTAGTTTGCCAGTGGACCTGCGAATTTCACTACTCTAAGACAACAAACTACCAAAAATTTGCGCTGTTTATGTTGAAAAACTTGCAGTCCGGGAAGTAGGTGTCAAAGATTTTTATTTTTGCTTTGTTTTTCAGCTAAAAAATGATAACCTCACTTTTTTTATTTGAGTGTGCATAATATGCAATACTTGCGAATACGGTCTAAAACAAAATTTCAGTAACTTTTAGATACATAACGATACGTTCAGCAAATGTTGGCCATCTCCGTACCAACTTTTTCAACGTATTTGACAAACCGTGCTTGGATCGATACTGGACCTACTGCGCTTAGATCCACTGAAGTGTTCAGCTGTCACCCTGAAGCCATGCTGATCAGGATTTATGGCAACAGTACGCTGCTCTGCTGCTTTTTTTATTAAACCAGTCACTCGCACTACTGCTATTCTTGATAACCTCCTTCAGTACAGCCACCAAGACAAGCGACGTGACCTTTCAATTTATCAAAGAGCGAATTGTGCTCCACACGTTCCATTAGTTACAGTCACCAGTTTTTTGCCAATCTAATGTAAAGCGAGAAATGATCCCCAATGCCCGTATACGATGTGCTGGTATTATAGTAACAGGCATAAATATACACTACACAATATACAGGATGCAGTATGCAGTCTATAACACCTAGCATACAGTACATAGTTTAGTTAATAGTACATAGTACATAGCAAATAAAATACGATATGTGAAACTTATATATAATGCATATAATATGT